GTCAAAGGGAGCGAGAACTCCGCCTTGCCCCCACAGGAGCTCCTCTCGCTGGGCACGGCTCTGTTGGCTGCCCTGAGCACGGACCCAGACATGGCCTGCCATCCCCAGCTCCTCACCACCATCCCGCTCCTGCTGGGCATATTGTCAAATGGTCCTGTGACGCGGCAGAAGCAGGAACCCCAGGACCAGAGCCAAGACGGAGAGGCCGGGCGGGGTCCAGAGAGCAAAGTCCAGTCAGAGGAGAGTTCAAACACAGAAAGTGTTGCTGCCAATGTGGCAAAATCCGCAGGAGAGGGCCAGACCAGCAAGCAGAAGGCTGATGACGGCAGTGAAGCAAACGGATCTTCAACGTCTGAAGAAACCTCCCCGTCCTCCAAGCTGGATGAGGCCGTGGCTTCTGACTGCTACCAGGTTCTCACAGCCGTGTGTACCTTATCCAGAGGTCCCGACCAACTGCTGAGCAGGGGTGCCATTCCTGCCCTGTGCCAGGCAGTGGAACAAAACCAGACTTTCAGCCGCGAGAGGGGGCTTGCCCTGCTGGGTCGCCTCCTCTCGGGTAAAACCAAGGACAAAGTGTGGAGTAAAAACCCTGCGGAACTCCTCACTCTGTTGGTCGGGCTCTCCAAAGACTTCTGCCAAGCCACAGGCCAGACCAAGCTGGACATGTGCACCCAGTTGGCACAGTTTCTCCCCCCGGTGGGAGTGTCCGCAGAGAGTGAGGAGCTGAAGGTAGCCGTGGTCCACATATGGGAGGCATTGAGACCCATGTTGCAGGCTAAGCTGACGCCGAAACAGATCGGGCCGATCCTGGTCCTCAGTGCCTGCCTGCTGGATTTGCACGGCTGGGAGCCGGTGGGGCCGCCAAAGTTCTGCTGCTTGCTGGTGAACCGGGCCTGCGTGGAGGTCAGAATGGGTTTGGAGGAACCACCTGGTAACGAACTGAGCCCGGAGCTGCAGCAAACACTCACAGGTGGGGACATTACGTCCAACGTGAAACCGTGGGTGCTGAGATTCGATTAAACGTGATGAACCGCCCTCGTTACTTAAACCCGGTGTTCTTCTTCACAGGCTGTTACCGAATCATGGAGGCCGCCATAGAGCAGGCCTGCTGTATGGAACTGTCCCAGACCACTGAGCCTCCCCAGAGCTCCATCCCCTCAATCAGTCTGCAGCAGAGCAGGCAGGTCCTCGGGGTGCTGGAGGAGGCCTTCGCCGCTTTAATGTATCACCTGCAGCAGGTGAGAGGCTGACGTTTAAGCTTCTGTTAGCGGTACTCTGCTCTTTTCTATTTTATACTCAATAAGCTACTTGTAGACTATTGATTAAAAGAATCATCTTTTTAAGAAGTCATTCATTCTAAATATAAATACCAGCAATTCCCTGCTTACAGTCTCTCAGATGTGAGGTCCCTTCGATTGTAACTTTTGGGCTATTAATTGGGGAAAAGGTGATATTTTCATGGTGTAGTGTTATGATGGGATTCATATTCTCTTAAGTCCTACCATAGTTTATATTTTATTGTTGTTATTGCCACGGCCTTTTATAAAAGACTCTTCCTGTTCTCGTAGGTGGACCCAAGTCGCTATGGTGACCCTTTTATCTTCGGCACGTTCCGCTCTCTGTGCTCATGGTTGGCCGAGGAGACTTCCTGTCTGAAAGAGGAGGTGACCGGGCTGTTGCCGTTCCTGATCGGCTACTCCCGGAGCCACCTGCAGGGAGAGAGCCCAGAGCAAGGCCTCTCCGAATGGATGGCCGAGGTGTCCGTCAGAGAGGAGAGGGAGGCGTGGACGGGCAGAGAAGCTCTGAGGTAAAGATGACAATGCATTTCAGATGGAATCAATATGCTGAATCCCTCAGAATCTGCCGTCATCTGACAGCAGGTGCTCTTTATTCCCTCACCTCCTCCTCCCTCTCCCCAGGTACCTCCTCCCAGCTCTGTGTCACCTGTCGGCCGAGGAAGGTCCCAGGAAGGTGCTGCTCACCCTCGACACCCCGGCCCTGCTGGTGGACTTCCTGTCGCGGTGCTGGACTGACCTCAAGGGGAAAAGTGGGGGGGCGTCGGCCAGGGATCCCAGCATGGAAACAGCCTGCTCAGCGCTCCTCAACTTCACCGTCACGGAGACAGAGAGAGTCAGGTAGCTGGTTTACAAGAGAAAAAACTCACCTGAAGCCTGCTGATTCATGATCTGTTGTTTCATTTATATCAATACTGAGATATCAACACTCATACTTGTTTTTTTATTGTTGTCCAGGAAGGACCCATGTTTCAAAACACTGGAGGCCCTTCTGAGTGAAGCGCTTCCTGTTGTGGTGCACAAGCCCCGCCTGCTGGTCCTAGCAGCAAATTACTGCACGTTGGGACTGATGATCGGCAGGCTCAAAGCGGCTCCTTCAGGTGAAAATGTTGTCTTTTACTTTTTTTGGGGGATAATCACACACTTGGCACCACTTTGTTTGCCAGTTGTGTTCTGCATTAACTCCAGCGATCCATTACATGCAAATGCATTGCAGTTCAACCTACAACTTTGTTTTTCGTGCTTGTGTTTTTATTCAGCGTTGTCGACACAGTTTCTAGTTCCAGTGCTTGTAAAGATGCCTTTCTCACAGCAGACATTTTGACGTCTCACAGCAGGAAAAATCACAGGACGCTGCTAATAACAATGGCTACGTTCTCTTCAAAATGTCCCAGCAAGCCTTGTGACAGTGAGCTAACATTCACAAAAAGGGTCAGGGCTGTGGAACTGGCAAATCTAAGTGCAATGCAGCCTTTACTAATGGTATTAGTTTCCCTTGCGTTTCCTTCTGTAACTGCTTTAAAAAAGAAAAGGCCAATGGGGTTGCAGGCTCTTGGTTGGAGAGAGAGGCTGCTGTACACAATATGCAGAACTGTTAACAGCCTGTAAAAGGCTCTACTAACGACGCATACTTTTTAAATTTAATTTTGCAGGCTCGGTTGAAGCCGGCCAGAAGCGTCTCTTCTCCGCAGCTCTCCGGTTCCTCCGCAGCGCCCTGGACTCCGGCTCCAGCCCCGGCCCGGTCAAGGTGAGCCCCGGCTGGGAGGAGAGCTGGGACGAGGCCGCGGAGCTCTGGAGGTTGTGTCTGCAGGCTCTGGGAGGCTGCGTCCGCGCTCAGCCCTGGATCGCCGCCCTGGTCAGAGAGGAGGGCTGGCTCAAGCACACGCTCGCCATGCTGAGTCAGTGCAGCGCTCTGCCCGACCGGCACACGCAGGAGGCGCTTGAGGAAGCTCTGTGCGCCATGGCTGACCAGTGCCCGGTCTGTAAAAAGGAGATTGGAGACGTGATGAGAACTGACAAAGGAGCTCTGATGTGCATGAGGAACCTGAAGAAGTCAGTGGGAGTGAAGTGAAACTGTTAAGTGCTTTTAAAAATGAAACAATAATAGAGGGCCGTTACTGAAGCCAAACATGTGTTTATGACTTGTACCAAACCGACATGAACAATGCGTAACCTGTCTCTTACGTGTCAAGTGTGAAATGTTAATGTCTTTAATAAAGAACTATTTTGTTAGAAAACAAACCACAGCCTCTTTTTGCTCATGTTTTCATGCATCGTCTTTTTTTCCCTTGTTGCTTTGAACCTTATATTTCTTCCCCACAAACTAGTTGAACACTGAAGTTTATTTTTGACAGTTTATTTTAAGGGTTTACATCTTCAGTAAGAACAAAGGAGGATGACAGAAGCAGTCAAAGAGAACGATTGTTGTGTGGGACAAAAAAGCCAGTCGTCCTTTAACTCACAAGGCTTCAACTTGTCAGTCAAGATGTGAGTCGTAAAGGTCTTTCTATGCTGACCATTTGTGCACTTTCTTATTAATGCTGTCAATAGTGGGTTTTTTTTTACATAGCTGAGACTTTGTCCTATCGGGTCATAGGCACAATCATTTGATATTCAAGCTGTGTAGCAATGCAGGAAATGCATGTATGCAGTTGCATTATTTTTTTAGTTTTCTGGCATGTCACAACGTAAGATGTTTTGTTTTATACTGTAAGTCTCAAGTTATTAGAGTCCAAGTATCAAGTCTGCCATTCTGGCCGGAGGTTTTTACCAAGTTTTGTATAAATGTAATCAATATAATACATGTTGAAGTCCATAAGATGTCTCAGCAGGCTTCTGTTAAGGTGGATAACTGGGCCTGTGGTTAAAAACACCAGTCCTCTTCTACATGAACCGCCACAAGATGGCGCAGTGAGACTTGTTTGGATCTAATGTGCCTTGAAGTTTTAGACACACTCTATCCTATCTACATGTCTGTGTCGTTACATGTAAACTTAAGTGTTTTTTCTCTCTTGTTTGATGTTTTCTTCCTAATTCTGCTTTCTGGTTCAAATTCAGGAGAGTAACTTTGGTCATTTTATGCTTTGAAACTTTGGAGAAAGTAGATGATAAAGGCATTTTTAAAAAAAAGTTAGTGTTCCAGTTATTAATACAGTGCTTTCGTTAAAGAGTAATAAGAAGTTTTAGAAACGTGACTCATCTCAATAAAACATTTGATATTCTTCATATTTATTCTACAGATATTTGGATAAATAGATTATTTTCTCAGTTTATAATGATTTAAACTGACATATATTTCAAAAGGATATTTCAAAGGAAGAAAATCACGTTTTTGTTCATATCGGGAATACTTATTTTTGTCATTATCTTCCTTGTTAACCACTTCGTCCCCGATCCTACAGTCTACGCACAAAAAAGTTTTGTTACCCGCTTCGCGACTCCTGTCACCTCCCGCCCTCTTTCTCTTTGTGCCCGCCACCCGCCCCCCCTTTCCCCAACATCCATCCATACAAACTCCTGCATCATCTCTCAAACTAACTCACTCCTCTCCGCACCTTCAGCCCGTCTCCTCTCCATCCTCCGCGTCACATTAACCCCTCAGCTGCAGCGTGACAGCCACACTGAGAGCCACCGGCACCACCACCATGCTCTGGAAATCCCGAACTAAGACCGACCTTCTGCAGGTAAAAGAAACCGCGCAGAGGTTTTTTTTCTGTTTTCAGTGGTGCATTATTATCTCTCAGCAGTGTTAGGCCTGTTTATGTAGAAGTCCATAATCATTGCGCAAAAGGCTGCACGTTGTGGGCCTGTTGGCTTCTTTTTTAAGGGAAGCTGAATCCAGAAAATCCACTTGTCGTGTGAACGATTCAGTCCGGGTGAAATGTTAGGAGGAAAAACGCATTATTGAATATAATATTTCTGACTAGAGGGACCTGGAGACCCGTGCGTAAAAGCGAATGATTTAGACGTTAAAAGTGAGAAAATATTATTTTATTGTTAAAATATGATTTTTGTTGAGCTTCTTCTTTAATAAACATGCAAACTCTGATATTTGATAGTCCTTTATCGCTGCGTAAAATCCAAAATATATGACTCGCTGCCATTTCTAAAAACGAAAAAAACAAAACAATAAATGTAAAAGTACGTGTGTGTGTGTGTGTGTGTGTTTGAATCAACGGAGGCTAATTGAATGAAAATATCTCTTTAAGAGAAGTGGACCCTGTCGACCCCTCCCCTCATTCTGCCGAGTGCGCGCAAAGCCTATAAGTAGTGCGCTCATGGAGAGTCTGGAGGACTGTGTTATGCGCGCGTGTGTGTGTGTGTATCTGACAGCAGCGTTTCATCCGTGCGTAAAGAGCTCCGTCAAACGCAGAGAGAGAAGGGAAAAGTAAATAACGCCTTTGAATTTAATGGACCGGTGAAAACAGCCTGGATTACATCTCAGAGCATTTGGTGGCATCTTTCAGTCGTTGGACGCTCGCGCATCCTGTTGAATATTACATTTGGGGTTAGCCAGAGTGGTCCAGATGTTAATCCACACATATTCGGCTATGGTGAGTTTGAAAGAGACATCGTTTTTAAGTTGTTGTTTTTTTTTTTTACTGTTGATGTCTGTTCGTTACTAACTCAATTTTAGGAAAGAGTTTATTTTCTGTGCCAAGTGTCGGACTGAGCCTGAAAGATTGTACGCAAAATGTGTTTTCACTTAAAAACAGCTCAGTTCGTGTAAAAAATGTCCAGAAAAAAAGACGTTATAATTTAATCAATATGTTGCACTTTGTCAGCTTGCAGAGTATAACGGCCCATGGGATTTTTTTTATGAAATAATATTTTGGCTGGTTAATTAAATACATTTCGGATAAATGTGTTTTGTTCTTTGCTCTCCAGAATCAAGTGTCCGTGCGTCCCAATGAGCCTCTCTGACACACAGTTTAGCGCCGCGGCGCCGCGCATCTGTCCGCGAAGATGGTCTTTGTCTGCACGGTGTCACAGCAAGTGAGACCGGCTGACAGTAAACTGTCATCTCGCCGCACAAACTGTGACGTGCGGAGACACAGCAGCGGCCCGTCCTTCTGGAGGAGTGTTATCAGGTTCAACAGCCTCTAACATTAACTGCGTTCGACTGAAAGGACGATCACACCATCCTGCGCGCGGTGATGGATGGCAGATATGTGTGCTTTTAAAGCTGGCTGCCTGGCACATAATGGACATTGTTCCACAACAGCGGCATTGATCTGGCTGACCCAAAAAAAAAATCCAATTTGACCAGGATGTGTGTGAGAAGAAATGTAGGCTAGTGGACTACATCTGTTTGGCGCATGCTGGCATCTCGTTTTGCGCGATGGGGTGAAACTTGTAAAGTCAAGTATAAAATCACATTTGTTTTGCTGCGCCTCAGCGGCCGGAATTAAAGCCTCCTTTATATTCAGTTGTGAGGTCAGGTTTTGTTGCCACGATGACGGATTGTTTACAGATGTACCCCCCCTTTCCCGGAGCAACGTGTTGTTGTGCATTACCTGTCCTTTGTGCAGCTTCTTGGTGGCCGTGACCTTTCTGACACTGTTCAGCAGCGATGCCAAGGGGGTCTTCTGCCAGTGCGCATCACTTCAAGCGCTGCTGCTGTTTCCAGCTATCTAATAAAAATGGAGATACATTTATTTACGGGTTACAGCTGTTTTGCTTTAATTTAAAATTGTCTTTATATATTTTTTTAAGTTTGCCTCAGTTAAAAAATAAGGAATAAAAACACATTTCCCGAGCTGATCACTTTTGGAATGTGACATTTGGTATAATAGTCAGTGCCGTGTTGCACATTTGGGAGAACAGTTTGATTAGGAGGACTTGGAGCTGCTGCTGTGAAGCAAACTTTGTTTTAATTTTCCACAGGACCGCGCAGACGGACTCAGCGGCTCTTCGCCGAGTGGGCGCCTCTCCCAGCTTTCCTCCCTGAACCAGGCCGCCTACTCCTCGGCTCCCCCGCTCTGTCACACTCCGGCCTCTGACTTCCAGCCTCCGTACTTTCCTCCCCCTTACTCCCAGTCCTCACTGCAGTACTCCCAGAGCCAGGACTCGTATCCCCACCTGTCAGACCCCTACACTTCCATCAACTCCCTCCATCAGCATCAGCAAGTGGCATGGCACTCGCAGAGGTCGCGCTCCGACGACGGGGGACTCCTTTCACAGTCGCACCGGGCTCTGAGCCTCGACCCCCGGCGGGAGTATGCAGCTGTCCCCCGGCTGCTGCACGGTCTCGGAGAAGGCGCTGCCGCTCTCGGGGACGGTCCTCTCGGGATGCACATGGGACATCACGGCCTGGACGATCTTCAGGTGACTTTTTTTATTTATTTACACGTTTTGGCTTTCCATCCTGTGGTTGCGTTGGCGTTGCGGACTGGGAAGACCGTGCGTAAAAGTTCCAAACCGGTGCGCACAGACATTAACTCTTTGTGAACGAAATCTACACTGGGCCTCATTGATATTTTATTTTTCTGTATTCCAATGCCGTTATTATTATTCTACATATACTTAGAATATACTAAAAAGACCATTAAGGCAATTTATCTTCCATTTCCTTCAAACGATAATTCATGAAAAACAGCTCACATTAATCAAATAGATTTTTCAATAATTCAATAAACACCTTTAATTAACGGATACTATTAATCATTTTCATTCATTTGGGATGTTTAACCTGTTATTTGACTTTTATTTTAAATTAAAACTCCTGCAGACCCTCAGCGTATTTTACATGAATTTTAAAAAAAATCACATGATCAGTGTTGGTGTCTGATATGAAAATAAACAGTTGTGCGTCGCAGACTAAACAACTCAACTCAACTGTAGGCTGCTGTTGGAGTGAAATAAAATACACATACAACAATATTAGCCGAAATGATTTATTTTCTCTTCAAAATTCGTTCATAGATGAATAAATAATACTGTATTAGATAACTGTCCTCCATTTTGTCAAGTGTGAATTTTAAATGGCCTGTTGAGTACGGTTTTTTTCTCGAACATGATTTGTCATTTTAAGAGTTTTTGAGACAGAGATGTGTTTCGAGTTAATCTGAAAATATACTCTGAAGTTGATCTTAATAGTTAGATATAAAGTAGGGAGAATGTTAATATGTATATAGCCTCATATGAAAAAAGTGTAATATTTTTCAGAAATTTTAATTCCAGAAAAAAACGTTTTCTTGTCATATCTGTCCGTCTTATTATTAGTCAGGACATTCAGTATCACCCGATGTCTCGCACAAAGACAAAGTAATTCTGCAGCCTTTTGCCTTCTGCAGGTTTTTTTTTT